ACCTTACTGTACCCAGAGGCCTGTGTCTTGTGCAAATAAAAATGTACTTAAATTAAATGTCTCTGAGAAATAACATAACTATCAAGTCTCATTTAAACTTGCTCTTTAATTGGGGATCGGTAAGGAATTCTAAAGCTTAGTATTCCTAGAATGCATCCCCCCAAAGGTACTTTATTTTCTCTTCAACATAACCTAGACACTTTTCCTGGCAACCTGAATGTTGATTGTTAACAATATTACACTAGTTCCATTAATTCATTTTCATATCCTGATTGTGAAGATAATCTTCTTAAGTGTTTCCATGGTAAGAAAAAATATGTTCAGATAGAAAATACTCTTTACTGTTCATTGCTTTTAGATTGACTCTAGCAGAGAACTGTAAATAAGATAAAGGCAAGAAATGCTACTTTATTGATTTTAGTTTTTGTAATAAAAATTTTGGCACTTTTTCACTAGACATCTGAGTCCTTTGTTGGGTTATTTTTTGTTCAATTGCCATGCCTCTTGTTTGTGTCCATGGCCAAAATATTATTTCTTGGAAGCAAATTCCCAAAGCAATTGTTATCAATGACATTTACTGACTCAATTAGTATAGGGCCTGGGAAGATTTTATAAAAGCCAGATTAGTTTTGAAGCTGTTGAGAAATAGTTTGTTTATGATATTTACTATTTAAGGGTAACATCACAGCATGAAAATTTGGTGAAACAGCATCATCTTCTGTGATTTGAAACTTAGCATTTACTTATATTGAAAATTCTGAAAGAAACCCAAAGATTAGTCATGACAAAAATCAACTGAAAGCAATTTCAAAATTTGAATGACTTTCATCATCATATTAGACATGTTTATTTGATGTAATACAATCATCTTTACAACATAGCTGAATGTTTTTGATCAGCTGTTCTTATCAATTGGTATGTAGAGTTCCAATAAATTTGGTGGCTTTTTGTAGTCATTGGAAATGCTTTCCTTTGGAAATACAGGAAGACACAAAAGGAGTTCCTCTTCACGGTCCCAACATATGTTTGGACTGATTTGAAGCATTCTAGATTCCAGACCGGCCACTTGGGGGACCACCAACAAGATCAATGTGGGCAACATTTTGCCCAAAGTAAAGAACTGAGCATATAGCCTCAGATGTCATGGAATATCTCGCCAATGTAATGTCAGGAGAGTCAGTGATGATAAAGTGACACCATTTCCGAGCTAGAGTGACATTAAAAATATTTCACCACCAGTATGGCATAACCACTGGGCGATTAGAATAGAAATGTTGGGGTAGGATCCAAGGGAACCCCTGCTCTGCCAGCCAGTACCCCATTCTTACTGGACCATGAGAAATCTTGGAGAAGTTACCAGGGTGGAAGAGGCTGTGGGGTTGCACTGACAGACTAATGCTAGTGTTTATTTATTTATTTACCAAATTATACAAATATATTTTTAATTAATAAGGCATGCTTGTCTGGTATATGAAGTTGAATATCAGCACTGTTCTTTGCCTCAAGCTCCTATTGGACAGTGGTTCTCAAAGTGTGGTCCAAGGACACCCAGGAGTTCCTGGACTTCTGGGAGATTCACATACCCCCCCCCACCTTTTTCATTGGCATGTCTATATGAAGCTAGATATTCTTCATATACTTAAACCAAACAGCATATTGCAAGAGCTTGAAAGCTGAAACAGATATTCAAATCTGGTCACCTCTTATTAAGCCAGTAATTTGCAAAACATGTAAAATGGTGCCATTCCCCCACCCCCACAAAAAAAAATTGTCTGGTTTGAAACATATAGTATTTCCCATACAAATATACTTTTTTGTTAACTGTAATAGGCTTACTTTTTTAATGAACTAATGCATAATATTTTTAAGAGTATAAAGGGATGCCAAGCCCAAAGAGTTTGAGAACTACAGTTAATAAATAAAATAAACTGTAGAGCACCAGGAAAGACAGGCCTAATAGCTTCAATCCTTGATCATTCTGCTCAGTCTCAATTGTCACTTGAGAGATTAGTTAATAACTTTAAAATATCCTTGAGTTTTTCACTTAAGCAAAAACATGTCCACCAGCATATATTTGTATTTTAAAACCTCACTAATTTGCATTAATTTATGTGTATAAAGTTTTCAGTATTAGTTTTTTTTTGGTAAAGAAATGCATTTCAATAAACTATGCTAAAAGAATTGTTATCAAAATGCTACCCAGAAGAAAACAGCTTTAAGTAATAGATTAAAATTTTAATTAGTTGATCAATTGTCATGTTTAAAGTACTTCTAAGATACTTGCCATCAGCTGGTTTTGTATCTTAAGCATTTCATTTGAAATCCTTTTCACACTACTCTTTTCTATCTGACTTTCAAGAGAGAAACACAGTAAACATTAGCCTCAATCTGTGCTATTAACTTAAATTCTGAAGCATCAGAATCTAAATTATCATCTTTCATTTTTTGTAAGGCCATAATGATTGAAAGGTCTACCATTATTTTATATAACAAAATGAACAAACAAACAAGCTAAAAGCAAATACCCGAAATGATCTCAAAAAGCCGGGATGCTAACGGTCTACAGGTAAACAGATATGGAGTTCAAGGGAAGATGCATGTTTCAATCTTAATGCTGGACAAAGAAAAGGAACAACAGAAAACCCTCCACAGTCCTCACTGTGGTTAGAGTTTCAATTCATGAGACCAGCGTGGTCTAAGACCTTAAGCAGAGAATATAGGAAGTGCTCCCAGGAGTCTAAGGGGAACAAATGCAGATTGTCTTGTAATAAATCTATTGATTATAAGAGGAGAACCAATTTCAGAAGTGTTAAAATGTGGAAAAACAACAATAAATATATGTGTCTTAGAAACAATGAAATACAGTAATTAGAATTTACTGCTATAAAAAATTAATTAAACATTGTTTACATAGGATTAATTCATATTATGTCATACTTGATCAACTTGCTAATATACTCTAGCAAGTACCATGCAAGGGAAATAGAAGGAAAAAATCTATAATGACGAATGTACAGTTATCCAACACTCTTGGTCTGTCTACATCTAAGACCATGATCAAGGTATAAAAATTAATAATGATCATCTCAAAACCAAGATATTTGATGAACATATTTTTAGCACATGCTATTTCTTCTCCTGGTTTCTTTCCTATGCATGTACACACGTAGAATATATATACACACTTGGAATATATTTTTATTGGCCACAGATAAGTTTATTAAGTCCCTTGATTTTCATAGTCCAATAGGAAAATCTGTAGTTCTTAAAAAGCAGATTTTGAAAACAAAGATTAGGAATATACTTTTAAAACCTACATTTAAATTATAAGGTGCTTTGGGCCCTCACTGATTCCACACTGCTTCCATGACAATAATGCACATGGGCTTTATCATGCTGTAAATCCCCAAAGCCCTAGATTCTGTAAACAGGAGTAGCGGGGCACATCTAAGCCTACATTTCTTTTATGTTTATGGGTTTGGTTTCTAAGAAAGATACACTCAAGTGAGGGGTCTTGTTGCAACTGGCATCTCTTTTTTTGAAATGTAATAATATAGGTTTTTAAGGAAACAGGAACCAAAGTTTCAGTCATTAGTGCCCAGTTACCTGATGGGTATTGATGCTTTTGGCTATAATGTGTGATGCAGAAATCTCTACTGAGCAGGCATTTGACCCAACCAAATTTTACAGGATCAAATGAGTCCTTCTAGACTATGGATGTTTCATACAGGACTCATGTGGTAATGAGTGCTATCAGAAATCAGCTGTCTTCTTGGGGGCCGTAGGGGCTACCTGCTGATCACTAAAAACACATTCCTCATCATTCCCTTCCTTTTTCCTCTTTTGAGCATAACAAAAACTCCCTTTCTAATGTTGAAAAATTGAAACTCTTGCCTTTTTTCATTAGTTCAGGTGCTTAATGATGATTCATGTCCTAAGGTAATGAGTTACAGATTACACAGTACTTGAACATAGGTACCTACTTAAAGAGGGGTTTTGAGACCCTGATGGAAGTACTCAAAACAGATGATAGCTTTAGATACTAAAAAATAGCTAAAGGTTTTGCTGAGGAAAATCCCATCTTCTTTTCTTTCCTCATGACTGTTCTTCCAGTGCTGAAAGTGTAAAATTTTGCATCAAGTAGGCTGCCTCTCAAATGATAAATGGATGAAGTAGGTGCTGTGAATAGAAATACTAAATAAAGCTCTTCTGTTGAAATTATGGCCTTGGTAAAAAAAATGGCATTTATTCAAATCATTCAAACAACTCCATTCCATTTCACAAAGAATGAAAAGACCTCTTAGAAGCCCAGACACCTTTTCCTCATCTGCTTACAACAAAAATAATCAAAAGGAATCCATTCTCAAGTGGCACTGAATCCACAGGCTTGCATTTCTACTGTTTTGTGCTAGGACGGCAAATGGATAACTAACTGTTAAATGCTTTTCTCCTTGTGAGAAGCAAAATCCTGTGTGTATCAACTTTTCTCTCTCCTTGATCAACAGAAAATCGTATTTCATATTGATATATATATATATAAAGCACAGAACAGCAGGTTTATGAATATATGGATATATGCATCAACATAAGGGCAAGTAAAGCATCTCAGGGGTAGAATAAGATAAATCTAAATTTTTGTTTGCTTTTTTCAAAACACGAACATTCAACTCTCACTATGGATTTCACTGAAAGTATTTTCTTAACTCCTATGATTATGGATCAATTCTTTGTTGGAAAGTCTTTTAGTGAGTGCCTGTCGGGTTCAAGTTTGGTTCAAGATGGAAGACTTACTGAAAGGCAGAACTGAGGTCAATTTTGAAGTCCTATGCCCTTCCTCAAGTAATTTTCTCCTGAGCATATTAACGGACTCCTTCTCATTTTCCCCTTAGAAGCAGTTTTCCACAGGACCTGATTTCATCATGGCCCTAAATGTCTGACTTGCTGCCCTTCTGAGAGATATCTGTTGCCAAATTTCTGAGCAAAAGTCAGTTAGGACTCACCTCTCCTTCCCTGGGCCAAGGCCTTCCATTCTGGGTGTATTTGCTTTGATTCTGTCTCTTCTTTTGTCCTCCATCAGCGAATTTGCACAGTAAAGGTTCACTAGGGGCTGGGAAGATAAGAAACCAATTCTATATTAGCAAATCCCCCTTCAGAAGAAGTGATGATTTGAGTCACAGTAGTTTGGGAGGCATGTCTTTTGAAGTCTTGCTTCTGGAGAGATTATTTGGCTCCCTTGTAGTCCAAATCCTGTGGGTCGCTGTTCTATCTGGGCTTCAAAAAAGTACTGGCAGAATATAAAAGAATATAGCAAAGATCATTGAAAAAAATAATCACTTGAACAGAATGTGAATTTGACTTAGAAAAAAAGAGGGAAGTGTCCACCCATCCCAGTTAGGTTAGTGTTTCAAACACACAAGCCAGAAAGGGAGTCACTAATGCTAAGCTCCCCATCACAAAACTTAACTTAATTGCAGGTTCTGCCCTTCCCGGGAATGGAGTCTCATCAGTCATTCAGGCACCTGCCGGTCAGCCCTAGTGAGATAATCTGCCTGACAGATCTCTGCCAAACCCTAAAGGGACACGACCTCCCCGCGACCAATCCCCCTTGTGCTAGTTGATCTTCCTTGTCTCCCCTCCCTTCTGCCTTTCATTTTGTAGAGCTCCTCCCAACTCCTTTCTACCAGCTTGATGAGGCATCGCCAGATTCAGGAGTGGCTGAGTAAAGATCTTTACAATTTACTGAGCTGAATTTGGCTTTTTAACATTAGAAGTATATTCATAACCCTTATTTCTGTGTGGATAAATATTTCTCAAGGCCACTGTTTTCAGTGTAGAAGCTGTAGGATTCTATTCTGGAAAGAGATACTTAGAAGCATCTTTCTTAAGAGGGAATTATGTTCCAAATTGCAACCAAATGAGCTCTTTCCTCATCAATCCCCCACAATTTCAAAAAGGCTAGAAGTGGACTATTTGACCCGTTCATTCCAGTTTCCCAGAAAAACCCAGTCAGAATCCCAGGGAGAACAGTTATTTGGATATTAAGTGAACCACATGGTAAATATAGACAAAGAATATAGCCCTAATCAATGAATCACAGACTGGGGTAAGATGTGGTGATCCTGGGTGACTTACAGAAACTTACTTCCTAAGAAAAAGTGAATCAAACTGAAGTTTGACAGAACTGCTCTTCCAATAGTGACATTGCAAAATGGCAAAACCTTTAGAAACACAAAAGGGCAAAAATTATTCTTTGAGAACTGATGTCCCCTCCACATCCCTAACTGACTGGAAAAATTGCCACTGGTCGCAAACACAGATATATTTTTAAAAGAATGAATAAAGAGAAAGCCATATTGGCCTAACAAACTTGATCAATGCATGAACATGGCTGGGAGGGATTTTGTTAGCTTATTTGCTTACATAAACCAAACATTAATTTGTAAATTTGCAACCTAAAAACCAAAACGAACCTCCTCCTCTTCCTACCCCCTTGGAAAATGAGTTCTGATGAAGATTAATTATATTATTATTTGAAAGGGAGCAGAATTTGTCACCCCAAAATACATCTCTTTGGCATAAGGATTATTTTAGACAGATTGTTTTTAAGAAACAGCAGATAAAGGAAAAGCTCTGAAAACTGTGGAGAAGTGACCCTTTTGTAAGATACCTTTATATTTGTAAGAGAAATCTACATCTGCAAGGGTGTCTCCCTCTCTGTACCAGCAAGAGACGGATGATACTAAATCTCTGTAAGCTCTTATCAGTGGAGAAGGTAAAGACTTAAGTCTGTACAGCGGCCTTACGTTGGCTTATGTGCTTTACCAGGTCACCTCTCCTAACTGACTGACTCCCTAACATCTTTTTTGTTGAGCTGGACAAGGTACTTAAGATGGTGGCCTGGGCTCCCTCAGAGAATTACTCAATTTTCCCAGGTCTCTCCTATGTATACAGGAGGTACATGTTATTAAACTTTTGTTTGTTTTTCTTCTATTTATTACAGGGGGTGTCAGACAAGAACCTAGAAGGGTGGAAGGAAATCTTTCTTCCTCTCCCACGTACTCCTAATTCCTCATCCATCCAGTGTCTTTGCCTTTGGATGAACTGTACTGTTGAGGCCTCTCATTCGGGCTCTTGGTCTGACCCCATGGGAATGGCTTTGGCCAATGAGATGTTAGTAGATGAGACACACTGAAAGTTTAAATGTTTTTAGGCACTGGGCCTGCTTCTTTTGCATCTCTGTGTGGCTATGTGAATATGCACCGCCTAGTGTCTTGGAGGATGAGGTACAAATGTAGGTGAGTCATCCCTGCTTTTACAGCAGAGGTCAGACTAGGTCATCTGATGCTTAGCCGCCTCCTAGAGATGAGTGAGCTTCTCAAGGATCCGCAGGGATCCATAGATAACATGCAGCTGACCACGGGAAAGATATAAGCCTAGGTGAGGTCAGTTAAGACCATCCCACAAACGTATGAGCTAAATAAATCTGCATTGTTTCACACTACTAGTGTTTTTGTTTTGTAATTGATATTCAACATTACTCTCTTAGCAGGAAACTGATACCATTTCCCCCAACACCCATTCCTCCCCATTCCCACTCCTACCTAGGATTCCTTACATTTACTAATCTGGATAAAGAAAAGAAAACATTATGGAATTTATGAGACTTCCATTAGTTTACATTTTATTAGAAGCAGCTTTCTATTCATAAGTATTGGAGGAAATGGCTCAAACAGAGGAAAGGGGGTCACAATTGACCAAAAGAAAAAGAAATAAAACACACAAAATGTTTCCTGTCCTATAAAGACAGCATGTAGGGAATATGTAACTCATTCTGGCACATAACTCTGTCTATAGAGCAAAGAGTATTCACCAAAACTATGTGTAAGAAGATTTCCTGTGAGATTTATATATATATATATATATGAACATATATATGAAATTCCTCATCATAGAATATTTTCTCTGCTATTTTAAAGATTCAAGGTATATCCATCCATTCAAATAAGACAGTCATTCTAACAAACATCATTCCTCATGGAGCACAAAGGCTTTTCAACTGTCTGCTCTTAAGAGCCTCTGCTTTTCATTATTTTGCTGAAGCCATGAAGATCACAAAGGGAAAGGCTGAGTCATGAAACGTCTGCAGACTGTCCCTACTGTAGGGACCAAAGGCAGGTTGCCCCAGATATGCCCCTTTGGCAGGCAGATTATGTCAGAGCTGAAAGCCACGAAGTCCAAAAGACTCAGGAAGAAACTCTGACCTTCCCTCATCAACTCCATAAAAAGAATTTAGACGCAGGACCTGCTGCAGGAAGAGGGCCATCACTTTAGATAACTATTATGATGTGAACTAGGTGTGGTACACAGGGAGGGATGGGGCTATGCCTTAGAATTTCTCTCTGTGCCCCATTGTTTCCGTGTGGCCCAGCAAACATTTGTTTACCAAACATTTACTCTTTCATATTCCTGTGAACTGCTCCCCTTTTTCTTTGAAGTCTCAGATCCCTACCCACTTCTCCTTGGTTCAGGATGACATACAGACCTCATTGCCCCCAATGGTCTTTGCAACCCATGCCTATGAAATCCACACACATATGTCATTAAACTTTGTTTTTTTCTTCCTGTTAATCTGTCTCATGTCAATTTGATTCTAGACCAGTGAGAAGAACCTCGAGGGATAGAGGAAAATTCTTTCTTCCCAACACTGCCATCACATTAGAAGCAGTGAAAGAAAATTCTTTCTCCAGATGAAAAACTGAGATTGTAAACACAATCACTGTGCCCCAAAACTATGTATAAGAAAATTTCTTGTGAGTTTCAAATATATATAGATATGTATATATCTATATATATATTCATATAATATGTATATATCTATATGTATATTCATATACATATGAATATATGAATGAAATTCCTCACTACAGAGTATTTTCTCTCTTGCCACTTTAAAGATTCAAGGTACATCCATCCATTCAAATAAGATGGTCATTCTATCATGTGAGTTTATCACTGGTAATTATATAAACTTCTCACATAAGGCAAAAAATCTAGAAATGCCTTAACTTTCCTACTGTGAAAAATTGCAGATTCTTCTTTTTATGCTTCTTTGGAGTATGACTTTCATGAGTCATACTTCCTACTGCCTGAAGCAGGATTCTCTCCATTATCCCCTGACACTGACCCTCTGAGGGTACACAGTATACAGCTTCTAGTAGCCCAGAACATGGTAATGCTTCTTTTTAGATTGTTCATGTTTCTAGATGCCTCAAACATATTTTGGGTGCATTTAATTGGTAGGGGTGGCAGACTGCTTCCTGGGTTTGAGATCTGGCTCCCTGACTTACCAGCTACCAAACACTGGACACTTTTTTTTTCTACATTTTTATGACTTATTTTCCTAATACATAAGATGGGACAATAATATTACCCAACTCAGAGAGCTGTTGTGAGGATTAAAATAATTAATGAGTGGAAAGGGCTTAAAACAGCACATCACACCTAATTAAATATTAAATCCATGTTAGCTGCAATTATTATTGCTGCTCAGCATCTCTATTAACCAAGGCCCAGTCATCAGCTATGAAACTTGGTTACTTGTCACAGTCAGAGTTCAGAGGGTTTAATCAACTGGGCTTAATTTTCATCAGCTTTGTCCCATTTTAACCACATGGCAATTTGGCCTTAGAACTTGCCACTGATTATACTCCAAGAATGACAATGAGATTTGCTCATTGAGAGGATGTGTGTGTCCACAGTGGTTCCTGCTGACTATAGCTTGTCCCTGGACCATGTGGCCACCACAGTCCAGGTCCCACTCCTGAGCTATCATCAGAGTCTGGCTTCCATCATCTCCCATGAGCCATGCTCCTGCTATGTGTGTGAACATGTAATTGCCTAGATGGAATGTCATTTCTGTTTCTGTTGTTGTTCTTTTAAAATTATTATTATTACTATTATTATTACATTTTGTCACTCAATGGCAACAGATCTATTGGCAGTTTAAATTAATCAAAGCTATATTTTACTACTAGGAAAAGTATCATGCCATCTATACAGAATAAAGGATCAAAATTTGCCACCCTAAAGGTATCTCTTAGGCATGTG